CCGAGGTTCTCTGCCTAGTATATCTGGCCCGAGAGCTAGGACTGCAGCAAGTGGCAGAGTACTGGCGCGCTGTCCTGCGCATGAACGACTCGCACAACCGACGTATCTCCCAACGCGTCCTGTCCCAGTTAACCGGCGATCTCACGGAGCAGAAGATTGCGATCCTGGGTTTCACCCCGAAGGAGAACAACAATCAGTACTCTGTGGCGCTGGGTCTGGTCCGGGACTTGTCGAGGAACGGGGTAAAAGTGGGGATTTATGACCCGTTTATACCCGCCGGCCAGTTGGAAAACACGCTGCGTGCGAGTAATGCGTCTCTTGAGACGGTCACTGTGGCTGAATCAGTGGAGACGGCATGCGCGGGATGCAGTGCTGTCATTCTTCACACGGACTGGGAGACGTTCGGACATGAGAAGGTTCGATGGCAGGGCATTGCCGGCCAGATGCAGAGCCCGAAGGTGTTCTTGGATCCGTATGGTGTGTTTGACCAGTTCAAGATGCAGCAATGGGGATTCAAGATGTTGCAGGTGGGTGTGAGGCAGGTTGAAGCAAAGTGATGTTTGTGATGTCATTACAATTGTCGTTTTATGATTTGATTTGGTGTTTTAGCATATGGTGCAGATGGAGGTTAGCAGGTATAATGATTCTGTGGTTGAGCGATTGATGTTTCATTTTGTGATCTCTTTGATTGTTAGCGATTTAGATGTTATTATTTAGCGCTCTCTGTTTTGGTTTCAGTGCTTCGAATCCCTTCAACAGTCACTGTGTACAGCCTTGCGGGCATGTTTAACTATAATAAGTCTATATATGTTGGATGTCTTGGCCGGAAGGAAATACCCGGGCCATCAGAGTGATCTTCACATTCTTTAGGGGCACATCATTGCTGCAGTGGCTGAATTTTTTATACTCCTAATCCAGTCCCGTGTCCCACCTCTATGAAACCTTTAACTTCGGGATCTATTCGCAAGATGATGGTGTGTCATTCAAAGCCTTCTCCAATCGTGTCAACCCACGCGTGAGCATGTCATCGGGATACGAAAATGTAATTCGGTACCATCCAGTCTGTCCACTCTCAGGGACAAAGTTTTCTCCATTTCCGACATAAACACTATTGTTACGGCATACCTCCAGGAAGCACTCCGGTCTAGCAGTCGAATTAGGAAGGAGCCGGGCCCAAACAAAGAGTCCTGCATTTCTATTAAGTTGTATCAGCGAGGGCAATTAGAAGAGCCTATGGAGGAAAGTAAGACCGACCCTTGATCATAATACTCGATGCTCTTATTCCGAAGCCAGTCAGTGACTGTACTGTAGGCCTTCCCAAGCTGCCGCTTATTTTCCTCGAGGAATTCATCCGTCTTGGTCGTGTCATTGAGGAGACGGCCCCACATGTCTTGGACAAGGTAGGAGGGCCAGGAGAAAAGGCTAACGCATTGCTCATGTTAGACACAGCCTTGATTACAGGAAAGGGTGTACTTACTTCACACCGTAAGCAGCTTGAATCAAATCCTCATTACGAGAATGCAGAACACCCAGTCGAAGCCCACTTGCTCCAAAGTCCTTACTCATTCCATACAGGACATGGACGAGCCTAGGATCAATAATGTCATCCAGATCAAGGGAAAGAACCGAAGTAAAGTTGGGAGCGTTGCTCCCGGGGTTGCTGAAGACGGTGTTCGCGTAAATCTCGTCGGAGATAAAGTGGATTTTATGTTTACCGCAGAAGCGTGCGATGGCGATTAATGCGTCTTTAGACTAGAGCAATGTAAGCAATCGAAGGTATATATTGTTGGACGCGGAGGGATCATGCTAACATAACAGCGTCCGAGTGGATTATGCGGGCTGTGAAATTCTCGTCAGTCATCCATTCCAAATCCAAGAAAGTTACTCCGTAGTAACATACTTCGCAATTACTACACCTCGAATCGTTGTCTTATTTGTTGATTCCGTATAATTACTCCAAGTCCGTTCCAGGGAATCAGTGATTGCTGTCGCATCGAATACCTTGTCGAAATTGTAGGTCTCATTATCCCACACAAAAGACGCAGGGAGCAGCTTGCCTTGGCTCCGCAGTCGCGTATCTGTCGGAAAGCCGTTATATAAAGGTTGAGGAATGATGATCCCCTCATCATCGCTGCACGTGTTCCATGCGATCGAGTCAATCAAAGCAGTAACACCTGAAGCAATGATGATTTCACTTTCATTAACCCGCTGACGCGGATCGAAATAGGCATTGAAGAATTCTGCAACAGTTTTACGAAGAAAGGGAGAGCCAGCAGCTCCCTGACCGTAGGTTAAGTGATAGAGCGGGTCGATGACGAACTGTTTTTGCAATCAATCAACAAGTGAATCAGATAGGGAGGGGAAAAAAAGAAAGAACTCTACATTTGTATCCAAAAGATCTTTGAGTGTGTCTTGCATCAGCCAGGTTTCGGCGAGACCTAAATTGATGCTTTAAAGCCTTAGAGATTGGTCTTCGTGTGTTGGAATAGATGACGTACATTCCGTCGTGAGATATACTATCATATGGCTTGGAGAGAACATCCCTGCTAAGGTTTTTCCAACCCTGATTGTAGTAAATTGCATTCTCTGCCCGAGGCGACAAGTAATCCGTCTGAAGGAACTGAGTGACTCCAGTATGCGAGAAGCAGATGAGGAGAGTAAGAGACAGATTATATAGTGTCCACATTGTGGTATGCACAGGAAAAGTAGAGGGGTTGTGCACAAATTCCTAACTCTTCGCCAGCATGTAGCGTACTTTGAGGCGGCAGCACTATTAGATATACCAGCTATTTTGTGGATTAATCCTTTTGCAGGTCTGTTCGTTCGATAATAATCAGTGTTACATTTCAAATCTGCATGTAACGTTAATATTTATTCGGCAGTTATACTACCCTATGTATCATCAGCATTCTATCCCTTTGCTGAATCCGCGGACATTAAAGCGAAAGGATTTGCCCTCCGAACCTGTCCATTGATGGACTTTGATTACGCTCCTCCCGTCAATATATCGCTCTACTGAGCATCCACTTCGTGTTCTCGTGAAGCACTGATCAGAGTGCAGCAGCTTTAATTTCGTCATACATGTATAGGCGGGTGGTCAAGCCGAACGGTTCTAGGTCCTCGTGTAGGAAGTGTTCCTACATAGCATCTAGGACGTCATCTGAATGCGCAGAATAAATTCGGTGTAACATGTAGCATTATGTAGCCTCCCAGTTGCTATCTAGGGATGCCAATTGCGAATGTGCATGATAGCGTGCTGAATGCACTCCAACTTACATGATCTGACAGATGAAGCCATACCTGTTAGAGCAGTCCAAGACAAACTGAATAAGATAATTTGCCACATATAGCCAACAATATACTATGGTATCAGATATATCGGCAATCTAGGCTTTGAGCAGCCACAGAGGCCAGAACTTCGGAACTAGGTGAACTAATGTTACATACAGTTAAAGGTTGCGCGACAGCTTCGGGTATATTCCATCCCTGCTTCTAGCACCTTTCATAGCTACTACAAACCCCAGTGGCAATTTTGTTAGGGTCACCTACCTACCTGCGTCTTTAGTAGAGCTGACTGTACATTCCACTTAGCAAGGGGAAGTTACAATAGTTGCACAAGCATTCTAACCATTCTACTACAGGCCGTAGAAGACTTGGCCCCATTCTTGTGAGAAAGACTCTGTTCAGAGTAGCATATTATCTATCTGCTATTTGTACCGCAACTAGCAAATACCAGTTCCCTTGTAGCGAACATTGTTGCATCATATTTCTAAATAATTGATACATTCCGCTCGCAGGATTTTTTGCACATAATACTAAAGACAACAGTATCTATACATACCCAACCTTGTTCAGCTTAAGGCTTTATTCCTGTCCATCCACTTCATCTATTAATTGATCAACTTACTTGAACAGTAAGTTAACACACTGCACGCAGTATACTAGAGCTTATAGAACGAAAATTAGCAATCCACCTCTTACACTTCTGGATCTAATTGTCAGCAGACCTGATTCCATCCCAATTCACGAAATGAAGGGCATCAAAGCCGCAAATGCTATCACATTTTCCCTGTTTGTGAGCCACATCTGCGTGGAGAATCAATGCACCATCCGATATCTGGATAGGCCAGGGAGTACAGCCCTGCACCCGGGCTAATTTCCAAAATGAAGACACTGTCTATATCTCACAGCTTGCCTCTGATGAACATGTCTTTCTCTATGAAGACGACTACTGTAAGGACATATACTATAATTAATCCGCCAGGCCGTAGTGTGACACCTTCTGAAATAATTGGCTCTTTCGATGTGAAGATCAGTGGTGAAGGTGACGACTAGATTGGAGTAGGCCAGGTAGGTCCGGTAGGGAGGGAGGCAGGCAGGTCGGCTCTAGGTAGACAGGCCTAGGTGGTCAGGTAAGTAAATAGGTAGATAAATATATATCTTAGTTATCTCTTACTTATTTGTGGGGTTTATGTAGTGAAATAAAGTTTGGACAAGCTATATATATGCTAATTGGCTGCCAGTTCCAGGGTACGTAAAAGGCGGGGGCTCTAGCCTGCATTGGCGAAAATCTTATAGTACACAAGGGTTTTGGATGGTGACTCAGTATTGAACGGTCGTATACTACTTATCTTATGCTACTCATATCTCTGTCTATAAATTAGCAGAGCGACTTGGTCCACGAGAAAAATGGGGGCCGGGCGATCTTTGAGGCTGTAGCTAAGTTACCGGCCAGCGGCACTCAGCATCCTTTCTCCTTGGGATATCCTGTCAGATGAGGGGATCTGCTTTGCGTAAAGTGGGGCAGCCTTACATTCCATGCTCTTTTGCTGGACGGCGAAGGTGGCGTGTAGGAAATAGTTGTTGGCTGAACAATCCTTAGTGCTGGCCGCTTCTACACAGCCCCAACGCCCTTTATTTAAACCTCTCAAGTCATGTCTGGAAACTTGGTCCACTCAGCCTCCTAACTCCAACACCCTACTCTCAAGCCATCTCTCCCCATGGAAGGCCTCAATGAAGATTCACTTCCCCGACCAGAATATCCAGTCATCGATGAGCTAGTTCAAAACCCTGCTGTCTCTCCCGCCGAGGCAGTCCAGAAACTCCTTCGCGTTCGCGAGGTCTTACATCAGGAGAGACAGGAATCCGAATCCCCCTCTGATATCGATGGTAATCATACGTGGTATGCCATGACCAAAGTTGTGGACACCGCAAACATCACTCCACCAGATCAGCAAGACAAACTCATCGACTTTATTTTCGAGCTGCACCGTACCAAGGTTATTGATCCTGCCACAGGCGAAGAGCCAACAGCCGTTGATCAAAAGATATGGACTGAGGTTCCATACCTGAGCATATATTTGACTGATTGTTATTATTTCAATTTCAAGCCTGGTATATCATCCCTACACCCCTCATTCATTTTGTTGCTTAATTCCGCGGCTAAATCTTTCAGAATATGCCCGGCAGGTAGATGAGGATCCCCAAAAGGAGTATCCTCCAAGTGATCTTCAGGAGTGGGAGAACCGGAATGCCTTCATGGCGCACCTTACGAGGAGAGTAGAGCACCTCTGCCATCTTTTAGACGCATCTCTGTATGCATTCTATTCGTGTCGATCAGCGTTTGAGGAAGGGCCGTTGATAGAGGAGGCTGTACGCACTGCATGTATCTGGTATATATACGCCGGTCAGCGCGTATGGGAGAACTGTCAGGTTGGACGGCTCTTCGGGGATGAGGACCAAACTCCGCGCCGAGATATGCACATGGATAGATGGCGCCTCTGGAAAGATGGACTGAAGGCGGCACAACGGGAGTTCCCTAGGGAAAGTACACAGGAGATGATACGGAAGGCATTGGAAGAGGTTGAGAAAGCAGAACATGGAAAGAAAGAAACCAATCAATAAGAATCATGGTAGAGAATCCACGGAGACGCAAAATGATAGTGATGACGGCTCAAGCCCAAGCCGTCAGCCGGACGATGGGCAGCAGATGGTATTGTGCTGTATTTGTGCTATTGACTTCCATAGATATGGTATATGCTACTCTCGAGCTAACAGAATTATTCTTGTTGCTAATATGTCCCGATAATTTGAAGAACATGCGTGCAGCTCACTTTTTTTCTTTTTGAAATAGTCCATTAAGCAGTACCTTCGCTCTTCAAGAGCATACGCAGCCTTCATACGTAGTATACAACATACATTCTGGAGACAAGACCTCAATCAGTTAAGACAATTCCACCACCCCCAAGAAAGGTCATCAACCATCCTCCTGCAAATTAACGCAGGCTAATCCCACTTTGTTTCCGCGGCGCCCGTCGCTGTAGTCAGCTGCAAGGTACCAAACCCGGCGCCCAGTTATGGGCGGAGGCGGGATTCCCGTCCGTTCAGATACTCCTACGCGATCGTCTTGGGTAGATTTTTCTGGCACCAATAGTCTAGTGAAGTTGGCGGCTGCCAAGAGTCGATTGACGGAGTTGAGAGGAAAGCAAGAAGGAACCGATTATCAGGGTGAAACGAATCTCCCGCTATCAAAGCAGCGTCACCGGAAGCCTGCGTCCTCTATTGCCGTAGAGAGTTTGCCGTAGGTGTTGTCCTTGCCTGTGTTCTTATTGGCACTCCTCGCAGGCGTTCGCCGGTGCATTATAGACGTATAAGCAGGCTGGCACCCGCAGTTCGGCTCATCTCATGGAGCGGAAGGGAATTCGAAGAGGTGAGTCGAATCGCACACTTCGAGCGATTTCGAACGCCTGAATTCCTCAAGATCCCTGTAATAGATTGGATAAACAGGGATGGAATGGAAGAAAGATACATATACGAAGCGGAGATGCAGTCACTAATCAAGCTGCTCGGTGAACTCCTCCAACCCACCCACATCCTCCCAGAACTTGGAGAAATCGACATCGTTTTCTTCAAAGAGCTGCTTTACCTGAAGCATGGCGGACTGTTGCCTTTCCGGCGTGAATCCACCCGGCTGGGTACTCTCGTATTGAACCAACTCAACCCACCGGTAGAAAAGGTCCTCCTTGCCCATGGCTGTCAGTTTGTCCTTAAATACCAAGATCTGATCTCTTTGGGCAGATCGGGCCGGGTCGGCTGGGATGTTGATAGTATCAGGATTATTCCTCTCGTTCTCATCTCCGACATGCCAGATCAACCAGCCATGGGCATCCGTGTTCACCAAAACTGCCGTGCGGAATTCTTCCAATGAGACCTTGTCATCCGATTTCGGCTTGTCGACCATCTCGTGAGCCTTAATCATGGCGTTGTAGTCCAGGTCGAAGTCCTGATCTATAAGCAGGTATCCCGTCTTTCTGATACGCTCCGGCGTGACCGCCGCAACGATCTTGTCTCGTGTTTCCTCGTCTTCGCGGATCCAGCGATCACGTTTGAGGCCCTGGGTCATGTCAGGTTGGCTTCGCCGAACAATAATCTCGTATGGCTGGAAGCCGATATTGCGTCGCCATCTGACTGCTCCGAAGAGGAAGCGGATAGGCCAGGCCAGGAACACAGTAAACAGGAAGTAATCAAAAAGAACAGTTCCTATGCGACGCAGAGCCACCATGAAAACTTCGGCCCAGTCCATTGTCGTTGTGTCCACCGTCATAGAGTTGTTCATCCCGACCAGCGCTGCTATCATGGCGGGATACATGTTGCGGACCATGTAGACTCGGAAAGCGAGGAGACCGACAACGATGGCATTAATTGCACAAGGAACGATGAAGGTTTGTTTCTTGATGTCCACCGGGCAGGTATCGACGTGGATAAGGTAGACTTCGCGCGGAGAAAGCGAGTCGAGGAGCGGTTTCAGAGGTTCCGGTGCTCGAACGAACGGAGGGATAGGGCCATTTTGCGAGCTGGGAGTGGAAGTTCCCGACGAGGTAGCGGAGGGAGTAACTGAGGCCTTGCCCTTGGGGCCTCGCCTGGCGGATTTGGCCATCCTTATGCGGATACTCGGGGATGTACAGTCTTTCGCTTCTCAAAGGTTGGAGACGTGAGGCAATTGATGGCTGTTAGGGAGAAAAAAGGGGAGGGAATGGAGGAAGATTTCTTCAATAGGTCCACATGAAGGACTGGTCCACTGACCCGGAGGCTCAGTAGTCGCGGCCAAAAATATGCCAATCAATACAAATGATTGTAGGTCAAACGACCTCCGCGCGAGAGCTCAAATGACCTGACCCCTTTGCACGTGACTATGACGGCCATGAAGCTGGGATGATCCGATCGGACTATCCATTGTCCGTCCCGGCCCGCTTCCGCATTCCGCAGCTCCAGAGTCTCTTGTCTTGTCTGTACAACAACTAAGGAATAGCTCGGTGCTATCAACCTGAAAGTCTTGATAAATATCCCACAATGTTAGGCGCAGCATCCCGGCGCGCTGTCGCCATTCCAAGGACCCTTGCACATCGCCATCATCAACATGCATTCTCATCCTCGTCATTCTCGACACGCACAATACCCTCCATCCTCCGTTCACGGCCGACCGGTGCTGCTCCCACATCTCTCCTACGAACCGTCCAAGCCACCACCATCCAGACTCGTCCCCTCTCCTTCGCGCAGAAGATGAAGCGCGGTTACCAGGAAGCCTCCCGTGGCATTTGGCGCAACAACCCCATTCTCCTTCCCCTCGCACTCCTCTCCGTCGCCACCGCAACCGCAATCTTTAGCTACATCGCCTACAAGGAAGCCACAGAAGTCGGCCCGCAATACCACAAGTTCCCGCCACCGGTTGCAGAACGTCTCCGTACGGCAATCTACTACACCGACGTGAAGCTGAATCCCGTGAAAGCCATCGACGCATACAGCGAGGCAATCAAGTTAGCAGCGGAACTGCAAATGCACCCTTACTCGGACGAAGTGATGGGGATCAGATTGCAGGTTACCAAGTGTCTAGAAATGGCGGGGCTAGTGCCAGCTGCTATCCAAGTCTTGGAGAAGACACGAGCAGATGCATATCACTGGGTGAAGACGAATATGGAAACAGAGGCATTTAAAAGGGGGGAAAGCGATTATTTCTTTGCCCGCGGGCCCTCCACAGAGAAAGGCGAATTGGCCGCTGAGCCAATGAAGGTCGACCCCGCCATTGCAGAGTCATACGAGAAGATGAAGCAGGCGGAGATCTATGAGTATGAACAAGTAGAGAAGACTCTCGCCAAGGTTGTGGGTATGTCCGTAAAGCTCGCGGAACTATATAAGAGTGATTATGTACAGGATGACAAAAAGGCCGAAGAAGCGCTCGAATTTGCCGTTCAACTATCCCTCGGCGAAGTGCAACGTCGACACCAAGCCAAGGTCCCCATCGGCGGTGGCAACTGGTTGACTCTAACGGAAATCGGAACCGCTCTATCCGAGTTGGGCCAACACTATGCCTCCAAGGGGAAGTTGGACCTTTCTTTGCCGTTGTATCTGCGCGCCTTTGACCTCATCAATGCCAATGAAGGCGGGGTTCCATCATGCAAACAGGTCACCCTCATGTACAACATCAGTGGCTGTATCGGCTACCCAGCTCTAGACGGTGTCGCACCATCGTCGGACCCTGGTGTTTCGCGTGCTGAGGCTATCGAGGCCGCACGCAAGTGGGCTCAGGGCGCGATTGAGAGGGCTGAGAAGGTCGAACCTTCCGAAGATTCTGCGGAGTGCGATCACAGCTGTGCGTCGGCTAAGGTTATGCTGGGACAGTTGGCAGTGTTCCATAATAAACCAGAGGAGGCACTGAAGTATTATTATGAGGCCAAGGATCTTTACAACCGCCTAGAACTTAGTTCTGATGCGGAGGATGTCTCAAGGCTTATTAAGGATCTCGAAAAGAAGAAGAAATGATTGAACTGCTGGATGCAAATCAAATTAGGAGGATTGTGTTGACGGAGCTGATCAAGACCAAAATCCACCAGCATGCGGACGTAATGTCACTGCCTTCTTATTGGGGGTCGAAATGTGGCGTCGTCAACCACTATCCCAGCCTACGAGGCAACATATCAGTGAGTCAGCGTCTGAATGTAACCATTTAATTCATTGCGGACTTTTTGACCTGTTCAAGCCCGCTGAGTTAGGTGCAGGCGCTTCGTTGTCTTGAGGCAACGATATTGTGACGGGCTGTGATGGGATGACCTAGGGGCTACCCTACTTCCTTTCCTCTGGCATATCGGATCTGCCTGGCACACGTCTCGAGCTATTCGTCACCCCCCGTAACCTTCACTAGCGATGTATTCTACTAGCCCTAGCTCAAACCTGTACAGTAAATCTGGGCAGTGAAGCCATATGATCACGTTCAGAATATACTCTCTTCTTCCCCAAGACCTCTCTAGTTCCTTTCATCGCAGCCCAGTGGTCCCTGAGTTGCCATCCATGGGTCATGCCCAATTGTAGCTTGAAGCCATAAGCCAGTACCTGCACGGAGTATTTATCTTACTTCGGTAGGGGAATGATCGGATCAAAGTAGGACCGGGGCCTATGTTCCAGAACAATTTCCGATGCTTCAAGTTTCTCAGCCCTCTTCCATGCTTAAGCAAGTCACTAGATATGGATGGATGAAGCACACCAAGCAGTCCTGCTGAAAAAACTTAGCCGGGTATGCTCACGCCCATACGGGTTCGCGGTCGCAGGAGAAAATCCCCTGATGATGGAGCCCCCAAACCAAAACCCAGTGGACCCAAGGGTGGGCGACCCATGATATCTCACCAGACAAAGCTCGAATCATCACAGGCGCGAAGCCACAAACGAGCTCGTCTACTCGTCGTCAAACCCACCAAACCCCGGCAATCGATCCTGGAATCTCTCCCCGTCGAGTTGATTGAAAAGATCTTCTTATACTCTCTCAATGTGAACTTCGCTCGCTGCTCCTCCGCCCTAGGCGCAACCGTTTCAAGTGAGCGCATATACAGAGCGTTGATCTTGTTGGCGTTTTGGGATGACTCATCTGCTCCTACAGGAGTTAGAAACCAGGCCACAGAGACCGCAATATCCAGGATCCTTCGACCAGTCGATTAC